TGACAGTATCAAGAGGGTAGAGCCTGCAGAGTAGGAGCCAGCCCTGAGGTCCCAGCTGGGTAATTAGCCAACCTTTTCTACAACGAACATGTTCTCATGGTGCAAGTCTCTCATCAAACTTTACGTAAACCTCGAGACAGTGTTACTGGTTACTAACCTCTTCAGCAAGAATGCTTGGTTTAGAAGAGAAGGGGGGTGGGGGGGGGACAGATGCTGGTGCAGCTGTAACCCAACTGGACCTGTGTGGGAAATGTCTTAGGTTTGCATCCCACGCACTCCCTGAGCATGTAGGCACACATGTGCCCATGATCTGAGCTGGCTGACACTGGGGGACAGCATGGTGTGTGAATCCCATCGGTGGTCTCTGTTTCTCTCACTCAGGGAGTAAATACATAATTTAAAAAATAAAAGAGAAGGTAGTTGAAGGTTCACAAGGCTGAATGCTAATTTTTTTTTTTTTTTGTAGAGGTTTTTGCTATAGGGCGCGTGCACTCGCCAGACAGAGAGAGACAGAGACAGAAAGCGAGAAATCACCCGCCAGGGGGGATGGCCACACCGCAATCCCTTCTCCTCTTCTCCTCTCAGGATCTTGGGCACACACGCACACGCGCCCGGCATGAGTTTAAGCCACCGGGTCCGGGACGCAAACCGCGGTCGACTACGTGGGAGTCCAGCGACATAGCCATTACGCTAACTGCTGGTCCCAATGCTAATTTGTAAAAGCATAGATTGTTGTCCAGGACTTAAAAGCCAGGCTGAGATGGGCTTGAGTCTGTTCCTGCTCTGTGGCCGGCCACCTGGCATCCACCAAGTCCCTGTTTCCTTAGCCCAGTGAGAGTATGGAGTAAGGGGAGCGGGAAAGGTGGGCAGGGAAGATGGCTCAGATGTGTATGTGTCATCCCTTCCCGCCATCTTAAATATTGCACATTCACATACCTACTTAGAGCTCGAGGGGCAGTACTTAGTATGAATTAATTGTTTTTCCACATAAGTAAATGTTCATTATGGGTTTTGGATGATCTGGAGAGGGAGAACAATTTGTTTAAATACCAGTACATCTTTCCCCCCATTTTCAATAGAGCAAACTTATGTTTTATTTTATTCAAATTATACATTTCTTCTATCTCATCTTTACAAACGTCTCTATTTGTGCTGTAGAAATGGAAATCAATCTGTATTTATTATTTTATGGCTTAGGAAGCATTCATTTCACTCAGCTGGGTTTGACTATATTATTCACTGTCCCTCCTATATGCCTGAGATATTTCATAATAAAAACAAAAAACAAATTAAAAATAATAGGAAACATGTTTTACAGGGTAATCAATTTTCTATGTATAAGGAATAGAGCTTTATTTTGAATCCATGCTTTTTAAGAGTGCCTTAATATATGCTTCTGTCAATATGAAAGCATAAATAGCCACAATAAAATTCTTCAAAAACCCAACTAAGAAAACTTTAATAGTAATATGAATCTATTTAAACAAAAGCAGATGCTTTCAGACATTCTCCCTATCAGAATTAAGGGCAGGCCAGATTAATGACTAAGCACCAGTAAGGACTTTGTTCATGGGTCACAAAGCAATGAGAGAGGGTTGGAACCAAAGAGAAGAAGCACTTTGAACTTTATTCCTGAACTTTCTAGTGAGTCATAACTAACTAACTGGGATCCTTCCTTGGAAGATCATATGAGGCCCATAAGGAGAAAGATTTTTCCACAGCAGCTCCAGTGTGAAAACTGGCCACTGTGTTAGTGCTGTCACTAACACCCTTTAAGTCAGTGCCATGAATAGTCACCAGCCTTAGGCCCCTACAAAGGTATGCCCTTGGGAACTGCCTCCCTGGCCTGCTCACAGCTTCTCTCACCCTTTTCCTCTCCATTTTGCCAACCAGATTCCCTTCTTAAGAATGATCAGGAAGATTATCAGGGTCTTTAGCATGGTAGGAAAAACATAACCTTTAAGGTTAGAGGGATTCCCTTCATAGCTTCTCCTGAACTTATCAAGTAACTCATGTTTCTTCCAGGAACCAATAATCTTTTCTCCTGCACATCAATTCCTCTTCTAAATCCTACCCCGCCCCACACAGGTAGAGTGCCCAGTTACCAAGCATCACGCCTGGACGGGGGAAGGATGTTTATACGCCGTTTTAAATCCTCTATTTGAACTACTGTACTTTGTTCTTTAACTTGCCTTTCATTTGCACTAATTAAAGAGAAACATAAAATAATGCAAGCACAGTCACATTTGACACACTCCGCAGAAATGGCTTATTACACGTGCATGTATTAGGTTGTCGGAAAAGTCAGGACTTTTTGCACAGAAAAGCAGAAAATATGTCATGACTTTTCTGACAGCTCAGTATATGGTTTATGTTGTGTGTGTGTTGGATAATTATTTGTAATATTGAAAAACATAAGGGATATTTACTGAATGGGTACTTTTCTGTGGACTTTTTTTTTTTTTTTTTGCATAATCTCATTCAATCCTCCAATAAACCAATGAAGTAGATCCTGTTATCATTTCTACTTCACAGGAGGAAAATAAGGTACAGAGAGACAAAGCCATTTGTAAGGTCACACTAGCCTGGCAGCGGAGGCTGGTTGCCTATGTTATGCTTAAATAATATCAAAGTTATATTTAAATTACTATTCTATATCTCTTTCATAGTTCTTTTGTTATCTTTTTTTTCAGTTGCCAGAGGGCATATGTGCTCAGCAAAGAGATAGCACCCTTAGTGGGGAGTGGTCACCCTGAAATCCCTTCTCTATTTCTCCATCCTATCAGGATTTGGGGAACACATATGTGCCTTGTGTTTTTCAAGCTGTTAGGGCCCGGATTCAAACTATGGTCAACCATATGGGGTCTAGCTCCTCTAACCACTAGGCCATGGGGCTGTGCCCCCAACCCCCCCCCAGTATTATCTTCTAAAATCAAATGTTGCAAACTTAATTGTGATGGTTCAACGCTTGAACCACTGCAAACTCAGGCTGCGCCCCCCAAAACAAGGAGAAGCACACCCTCATAGTACTCTGGCATAAACCAAAAATGGCTTAGTGACTCCAGTCCTTCAAGGTAGATCAAGGGGAAGACAGTGAGACAGGGATCACACCTTGGGAGTGAGCCGGGGGAACCAAGGCCACAGAAAGTGAAAACAAAGTTGGTCTTCAGCCAGTTCTGTTCATTCCTGCCCTTTGGACACACATGGTCCCGAGGGCTTCACCTGCTCTGTGCACCTGACCCTTGGTCCTGCCCGGCCTCTCCTGGGTCACAGCTAGTTTTGTGCCAGCGAATCCAGGCTGTAACTCTGGTTTCAGAGAGACACTCTAGGCTGTGGCCTCTTGGCCCTGCATGCAAGAGACTGCCATCTGTTTACTCACTCACTGTTTTGTTGTTGTTGGAGAGGTTTTTTTTGTTTTTTGTTTTCTTTTTGTTTTGCTATAGGGTGCATGTGCTCACCAGAGAAAAAAATCACCCCTCCAGGGGGGACGGCCATGCCACAATCCCTTCTCTTCCATTCTCCTCTTGAGATCTTGGGCACACACTTACATGCACCTGGCATGAGTTTAAGCCACCAGGTCCGGGACTCGAACCATGGTCGACTACATGGGAGTTCAGCGACATAGCCATTACGCTAACTGCTGGTCCCTACTCACTCTTAAAAACATGCCACAAGTATTTTTTCATGTGTACTGTGTGTCAAGCCATGGGGACATAAGTGTTAACAGAAATGGCCATAGTCCCTGCCCGTTTGAGGTCAAGTCTCGCTGTAGACACAGATATTAACCAAATTCTCACACCATCAGTTGTCCAGTAGCAAACGGGACAAGGGCAATGGGCACACAGAGCTGTGAGAGTTCATCACGGAGGTTTTCCTCCAGTGGGTCAGGGAGGGCTTCCTTGAGGAAGTGGCCTGGGAGCTGAGGTGTGAAGGATGTGCACGGCTAACTCGGGAAGACGGGAGGAAGCACACATCAGGCAGCAGGAACAATGGCTGCAAAGGCCCCGTGAGGAGGAGTCTGGCACAGCATGGGCTGAAAGGGGCCAGGTGGCTCCTGGGCAGACAGGCAGGGGCGCGGGGCACTGCCACAGGGAGCAGCTGGTGTGGAGGCCCGACTCTGCACGTTTAGGAGTTCAGGTGTTTGGCCTTGGCACTGACGTGAGTGGGGGACAATGCCAGATCTGAGTTTGCACAGATCACTCTGGCTTGGAGACGGCGACCATGGGCTGAAAGGACCTGGGAGAACAGGATGAATTTCCCCACGCGTGAGGCATGGGAAGCATGTGCCTCTCAGGGACTGCACTCTTTAATTATAATCCCTCAATAAGACGGTAGTGCAGTGGTAATGCAATGGACTCATATGGAGGGTCTTGGGTTCAAGTCCCAAGGCTTCCCCATGCACACCTAGCATGTGTGCATGCCTGTGATCGGAGCTGGCAGAGGCTGGGGGTGGATCTCGGCATGACAACCCTGCTGGGGGTGACAGATGACCCTCTCTCTATCATGAAAGAAATGGACGAATTAACTTTATAAAGAAATTCCACACGGCTGACCGCGTGGTTTGAGTCTCAGATGTGGTAGCCTGAGGGTCTTGCTGGGTGCATGTACGTATGTGCCCAAAATGCTGAAAGGAGAAATGGAAAAGAGATTACAGCATGGCCATCCCCCATGGGGTGGGGGGTGGGGGCGTTCTCACTTTTCTCTTTCTTTCTCTGATGAGTGCATATACCCTCTAGCAAATTAAAAAAAAAGAATCCCACAGTGACGTGTTTTAACAGACCCACCCAAGCTGGGCAGAGCATGGCATTGCCCCTGTGCTGTTCCGAGGGATGTTCTGGACTGGGGCTAACAGGGGCCGACCTACTGTACACCTGGCTCTTTGGGGCACCTGTACACAGGTCAGCTCATGACTCGAGAACTCTACGAGACCAAGCACTGCAGAGATCTCTGCCTGTGTCATGACGGCAGAACGCAGGCTGGACGCAGACAGCGGACATCACCTGGTCATTCAGTGGTATCCCTTTGCCCATCTTCGTTCGATTCTCCTCCGGGTGATAGTCATCCGCATCGTAGAATTTCCATCCTAGCTTTAAGGACAAAGTGAAAAGGGGTAAGTGGCAAGCAGTGTGCCCATGTGACAGCCACGGTGGGTTACAAACGGCCAAGTGCAGAGAGGATACCACCGTCCGCTTCCCCACCATCGGCCCAAGGACAACCTCCCGCAGACACAGGAGGAGTCCTGTAATCCCGTCCCACAATCCTGTCACCAAGCAGCTGCGTCCCTTTTCTCATTTATCATTTGTAATCACCAAGGAGAAAAATGAAATTAGCTCCAATGGTTTTAAAAGCCATGTGGAGAGGTGTCTATGCACACCACCAGCCAGAAGGCAGGGAGAGAAGCAGTAAGGTAAAAACAGGGCATGCAATTAGGAGCATTACAACGCATTACCTCAGATGCCAGCCGGGCGCCCACAGTCGATCTGCGGAGAGGACAGATGTTTCAGTGACTGTCCCTGCCCAATGTGCAAGGATGCCTGGGGAACAGATGGCCCTCCCACCAGGTGTAAAACACCAATCATTGTGTGACCCTAAAGCACTGATGCTTTGACCCTGGAGTTTATAGAGACTGGCCTCTACTGTTTTCCAGGAATAACAATAAACAAATAACAAGTGTGGGAACCAGCAGTTAGCATAACGGCTATGTCGCTGGACTCCCACGTAGTCGACAGCAGTTCGCGTCCCGGACCCGGTGGCTTAAAACTCATGCCCGGCGCGTGTGCGTGCGTGCCCAAGATCCCGAGAGGAGAATGGAGGAGAAGGGACTGTGGCGTGACCATCCTCCCTGGAGGGTGATTTCTTGCGTTCTCTCTCTCTGTCTCTGTCTGTCTGGCGAGCGCATGCGCCCTATAGCGAAAAAAACCTCTCCAAAAATAATAATAATAATAATAATAATAATAATAATAATAATAACAACAAGTGTTAGGTTGTTGGGAAAGTCATGACGTATTTTTCATGTTTTTCTATGCAGAGATGCGTCATGACTCCCTACAACCCAGATCGTTAACATAATTTCTTTGGTAAAAGGCAACATATTAAGATCTCTTACGCTCCTGAAGCTTTTTTCTTTAATAAACAGCCTTTTGGTCCCTGTTGTGTAGATGTGTATCTTTTGAGAGAATAAAGTGATGAAATTCCAATGACGCTTTTGTAGAGAGGCATCTGATGGGGGACTTAATCTCTGGCAGTACCCACACTAAACTCAGGGGCTCCTAACAGCACTATTTGGGCTTAAAAGAGATACATCTTAACATCGAGGGCATGGGTTAGTGACTCATGAATTACCAGAACTTACTAACATTGGGAGTTAAATGTTCTCTGTGCAAAGCATCTGATAATTATCTGTTCATATCCTAATAGGGTACAGAAAGGGACAAGGGCGTGGGTCTCAGAATCCGCCCTTTGGGTCACTGTCATTGAATGGAGCTTCTGAGCAAGCCATCTGTTTTTCTAAACCTGTTTCCTCCTGTGTGAAACAAGGGAACCGCAGTACAGATTTACCCACTCACCTATATTTCATTCAGCCAGTCCTTACTGAGCACTTATTTATTCCCAGGACATCTTGATGAGCTCATGGAGATCTGATCACCATCTCGAGGTGGAGTAGGTCCTTCACCTGTGTTGTCCCAGCCCCGAATACCCCTCTAAACAGTCTGGCGCCATGGGGTGGGGGAACGTCAACAGGCAATGTTATAAGGAGTGCTCTCTTCCTCTCAATTTCTGAAATGTTAGCCAAATGCCAATTATATTTTTTACTTTGTCCTCCTACTATTTCTTCATGCCCTTTCTAAGTTTTGCATACAATCCCTATAATTATTTACTTGACCTTTCTATTTAACTGCTCCCTTTTAAAAATGAAATAAACATGTTAAAGAAGGAAATTCTCTTTCCTTCCCCTCTACAGTAAGCTAACATCACTTGCATTAAATAGAAGGGAATCCAGAGGCCGGCAGGTGGCATGGTGGATAGAGGCGCTGGACTCCCACATGGCCAACCACAGTTCAAGTCTCGGACCTGGTGGCTTGCTTTCTCACTTCCTCTCTCTCTCTCTGTCTCTCTCTGATCAAACTGGAAAATAATGATGATAATAATAATAAATAAAGCTAAATAAAATAATTCTTTAAAAAAAATAGAAGGGAATCCAAAAGATGTAGGTAATAAAAATGAAACAATATGATTAAATTCTAGTTGGTTATTGTTGTCTAGTAAGTGTCTCTTTTGGTAAAAAAGTATCAGGGAGGTTAAAGACGTGCTTGTACCAAACGGAGACCTGCTCTTCGAGGGAACCAAAGGACTGAAAGAGCACGGAGACCTTCCCATTACGTTCTCCCTGTTGAAGGCTGCAGCCTGCTGACAAGGGAACCACCCCAGCCAACCCCATGGCTGGTGAAGCCACAGCTGGGTATAACAGAAATGACACTTTACACTAAGTTAGACTAGTCATGAGTGAGCATGCCAAATACCATTCATAATTTAATAAAGAGGAGCTAAATAGATTTGGGTGTAGACTGGCAGGAAGGAGATAGAAGGAAAAGGCAAAGGCGAGTCTGCTGCTCTATTCTAACCTAAATCAGAGAACACTGGACTAGAATATGCTCCAGAGACCCTGGTAGAAATAAGGCACTGTGGTCAGCTCACAGGCATTACTAACCAAAGCTTGGGCCCCAAATGTCTCCCAGTGGATTGGTCTAAATAGGGAGCGAGCATTTTAAAAAGATAGTAGGCCAAGGCCAGTAGGTGGTGTGGTGGTTGAAGTGTGGATCTCCCACATGGCTGACTGCAGTTCAAGTCCTGGACCTGGTGGTTTTCATTCTTTACTTTCTCTCTCTCTGGTCGAATTAAAAACTAGTAATAATAGATAAATTAAATAAATAATTCTAAAAAAAGACAGTGGGCCAATAAGGGAGAGTGAACAGATAGATACACAGTAAAAGAGAAAAATATTCACATGGCCTGAGCTTGTTCCATGAGTAGACAGAAGGAAACCTAGGATGAGATGCTAAGGATGGTTTCACTAAGACTGCGAAAATATAAACAAAACTAGCATTCACTCATTCATCAAGTCAGTCAGTGTTTATTGGACACCTCCTACATGCTAGGGACTATTCTAGATACATGCTTCAATAAACAAAAAAGAAAAATATCCCTTACATTCAGGTGAGGGAGACAGAGACAGTTAACATAATAAATGTTATCTTTTTTTTTTTTTTTTGGAGATGTTTTTGCTATAGGGCGCATGCGCTCGCCAGAAAGACAGAGACAGAGAGATAGAAAACGAGAAATCAACCCCCAGGGTGGATGGCCATGCCACAATTCCTTCTCCTCCATTCTCCTCCCGGGATCTTGGGCACACACACACACACGCGCGCCCAGCATGAGTTTAAGCCACCAAGTCCAGGACTCGAACTGCAGTTGACTACATGGGGGTCCAGTGACATAGCCATTACGCTAACTGCTGGTCCCCAATAAATGTTATCTTGTTTTAACAGTGGTTTAAACATTCTGCTTTGAGACTACTATTCTCATATGCCACTAGGCAATAACAAATATTTTTCCAAATGTATAATTTAAAATCCTGCAGGGCCCCAATGAGGGTTCACAAAAGTCGGCAACAAAGTCCATATTGCTAGAGTTGACACAATCAATTCTTAGTCATTTTATCAACTAGTCAGCCAGGTGTGATGCATACACCCCTGACCTTTATCACAGGCGGGCCCCAGGGCTCCGATCTTAGCCAGCTTCTTTATCTCCACGCATTCCTCCAGTGATCTCAACGTCTTATTTCTTAAGATACACACACACCAGTGAATAACACACGTATACCTAAAGCCCCTCTCCTCTGAACACTGATCTCCAACAGCCTCCTTGACAAATCCACCTGATGGCTGACTCCACATACAATCACCGTATCTCACATAGAGCTTCTGAGATTTTCTTCCAAATCTGCTCTATTCCTGCTTCCCCATCTTGGTCTGTGGCAATTCTGTTCTTCCAATTACCTAGAACTAAAATCTTGAATCATTCGTGACTCATTTCTCCCTCTCCACACCATATCCAGTGGATAAACACCTCTCTTTTGTCTCTATCTTCCAAATTTCTCCAGCCTATGACTTTTCTTCCTCCGCATTGTCTCTTCAACCTCATCTTCTAATATCCCTCACTAGCCACAGTAGCATTTTTTTTTGGAGAGGTTTTTGCTATAGGGCATCTGTACTCGCCAGAAAGACAGAGAGAGACAGAGAGACAGAAAGCAAGAAATCATCCCCCAGGGGGGATGGCCACGCCGCAATCCCTTCTTCTCCATTCTCCTCTCGGGATCTTGGGCATGCACACACACGCGCCTGGCGTGAGTTTGAGCCACCGAGTCAGGGAGTTGAACCACGGTCGAATACATGGGAGTCCAGTGACATAGCCATTACGCCAATTGCTGGTCCCCACAGTAGCATTTTTACTGGTCCTGGAGGAAGGTAAGCCTCAGAGCCTTTGTACGTGCCACTCCTTTGCCTATAACGTCCTTTCTCCAGCTATCTCCATGGCTTATTCTCTTGTTTCTTCTGAGTCTTTGGTCAAATGCCACGTCCCCAAGGGTGCCTTCTCCGCCCATCCAGCCTGGCATCCTTTGTCCTACTTACTCTCTTTTATTCTTCCTTACATCATCGGTTACTAGCTGACAGAGTTTACATTTATTCACATACTGTTTCCCACACACACTGTAAACTCTGAGGGTAGGGATTTTATCAGT